TGGCAAAATGGGTCAAAAGAAGGACTTGACAGGCTCAGAAAAGTCAAAAATAGTGAGATATCTTGCAGAGGGATGCAGCACTCTTAAAATTGCAAAGCTTCTGAAGCGTGATCATCGAACAATCAAGCGTTTCATTCAAAATAGTCAACAGGGTCGCAAGAAGCGTGTGGAAAAACCAAGGCGCAAAATAACTGCCCATGAACTGAGAAAAGTCAAGCGTGCAGCTGCCACGATGCCACTTGCCACCAGTTTGGCCATATTTCAGAACTGCAGCATCACTGGAGTGCCCAAAAGCACAAGGTGTGCAATACTCAGAGACATGGCCAAGGTAAGAAAGGCTGAAAGACGACCACCACTGAACAAGACACACAAGCTGAAACATCAAGACTGGGCCAAGAAATATCTCAAGACTGATTTTTCTAAGGTTTTATGGACTGATGAAATGAGAGTGAGTCTTGATGGGCCAGATGGATGGGCCCGTGGCTGGATTGGTAAAGGGCAGAGAGCTCCAGTCCGACTCAGACGCCAGCAAGGTGGAGGTGGAGTACTGGTTTGGGCTGGTATCATCAAAGATGAGCTTGTGGGGCCTTTTCGGGTTGAGGATGGAGTCAAGCTCAACTCCCAGTCCTACTGCCAGTTCCTGGAAGACACCTTCTTCAAGCAGTGGTACAGGAAGAAGTCTGCATCCTTCAAGAAAAACATGATTTTCATGCAGGACAATGCTCCATCACACCCTTCAAGTACTCCACAGCGTGGCTGGCAAGAAAGGGTATAAAAGAAGAAAATCTAATGACATGGCCTCCTTGTTCACCTGATCTGAACCCCATTGAGAACCTGTGGTCCATCATCAAATGTGAGATTTACAAGGAGGGAAAACATTACACCTCTCTGAACAGTGTCTGGGAGGCTGTGGTTGCTGCTGCACGCAATGTTGATGGTGAACAGATCAAAACACTGACAGAATCCATGGATGGCAGGCTTTTGAGTGTCCTTGCAAAGAAAGGTGGCTATATTGGTCACTGATTTGTTTTTGTTTTGTTTTTGAATGTCAGAAATGTATATTTGTGAATGTTGAGATGTTATATTGGTTTCACTGGTAATAATAAATAATTGAAATGGGTATATATTTGTTTTTTGTTAAGTTGCCTAATAATTATGCACAGTAATAGTCACCTGCACACACAGATATCCCCTAACATAGCTATAACTAAAAACAAACTAAAAACTACTTCCAAAAATATTCAGCTTTGATATTAATGAGTTTTTTGGGTTCATTGAGAACATGGTTGTTGTTCAATAATAAAAATTAATCCTCAAAAATACAACTTGCCTAATAATTCTGCACTCCCTGTATATGTGCTGTATATGTGTGGGAGTGAGGGTGCTGTCTGTCTGAGGGTGTTGTGTGCGTCTGGGGGTGCTGTGTGTGTCTGGGTGTGGTGTGTGTGTCTGTGGGTGCGCTGTGTGTGTCTGTGGGGTGCTGTGTGTGTCTGTGGGGTGCTGTGTCTGTGGGGTGTCTGGGTGCTGTGTGTGTGTGTGTGTCTGGGTGCTGTGTGTGTGTGTCTGGGTGCTGTGTGTGTGTGTCTGGGTGCTGTGTGTGTGTGCCTGGGGGTGCTGTGTGTAAAAGTCTGGGTGCTGTGTGTGTGTCTGGGGTGGTGCGCCCGGGGGGTGCTGTGTGTGTCTGGGGTGCTGTGTGTCTGGGGTGCTGTGTGTCTGGGTGCCGTTTGTGCATGGGTGCTGCTCCGCGTGTCTGGGTGCTGTGTGTGTGTCTGGGGGTGCTGTGTGTGTGTCTGGGGGTGCTGTGTGTGTGTGGGGGGGTGCTGTGTGGGGTGCTGTGTGTGTCTGGGGGGTGCTGTGTGTGTCTGGGTGCTGTGTGTGTGTGTTCAGCGCCGTGTGTGTAGTCTGGGTGCTGTGGGTCTGCGTGTCTGGGGGTGCTGTTTGTGTCTTGGTGCTGTGTGTGTGTCTGGGTGCTGTTTGTGTGTCTGGGTGCTGTTTGTGTGTCTGGGTGTGCTGTGTCTGTGTCTGGGGGTGCTGTGTGTGTGTCTGGGGGTGTTGTGTGTGTGTCTGGGGGTGCGCTGTGTGTGTCTGGGGGGCTGTGTGTGTCTGGTTGGTGGTTTGTGTCCGGTGCTGTGTGTGTGTCTGGGTGCTGTGTGTGTGTCCGGGGGTGCTGTGTGTGTGTCTGGGGTGCTGTTTGTGTGTCTGGGGTGCTGTGTGTGTGTGTCTGGGGGTGCTGTTTGTGTGTCTGGGGGTGCTGTGTGTCTGGGTGCTGTGTGTGTGTCTGGGGGCTGTGTGCGTCTGGGGGGCTACGTGTGGGGGTGCTGTGTGTGTGTCTGGGTGCTGTGTGTGTGTCTGGGAAGCTGTGTGGGGGTGCTGTGTGTGTCTGGGGGGGCTGTGTGTGTGTGTGGGGGGGTGCTGTGTGTGTCTGGGGGGGCTGTTAGGGAAATTATTTTAAATATATATTTTTTAATTAATAATTAAAAAAAAAAGTTATGCCCCCCCCCTTCCTACCTTTAGCCTGGGATGGGGGGGAGCCTTGTTTCCATGAGGGGGGGGGCATGCTGTCATGGAGGGTGCTGCCTTCCCTGGTGGTCCAGTGGTGAGAGTGAACTCTAACCTGCAGGTGAGAGTTCACTCTCGCGAGATCTGAGCGTTGCCGTGGTAACCGCGGCAACGCTCAGAATCCCGCGAGAGGACCCGGCGGAGCTGCTGGTTAGAGCTCCGCCGGTCCTCTCTCCTGCCTCCTTCCCTCCCCAGCCTGCGGCCGCATCTCCCTGTCTCTGGGCTGGTGAGGGAGATCTTTGATCTCCCCACCGGCCCATGGAGGCACACAGTGGGGCCGGCGCTCGGGTAGCGCTGGCCCTGCAGGGGCTGACCGGGGAGATCCTGTGATCTCCCCTGCCGGCCTCGGCCCCACGGCCATCGCGGCCCACCGGGCATTTGCCCGGTATGCCCGATGGCCAGTCCAGGCCTGCCTCCAACTCTCTCTCTTTCTTTCTTTTATAATATTTGGGTAGGGACATCAAGGAGCAGAAAGGGTCTGCAAGGAGCAGGAAGGGGCAGCAAGGAGCCGGAAGGGGCAGCAAGGAGCAGGAAGGGTCTGCAAGGAGAAGGAAGGGTCTGCAAGGAGCAGAATGGGACAGTAGGAGCACAAAGGTAAAGGAGCAGAAAGAATCAGACGGAGTACAAAGGTAAAGTAGGAGAAGGAGCAGAAAAGGGTAGCAAGGAACAGAAAGGGACAGAAGGGCACAAAATAAGCAGAAAGTAGCAGAAAGGTAAAGGAGCAGAAGGAGCCAAGGAGGAGAGAAGACAGTGTAGCATGAAGTGGCTTTGGTACCTGGGCCTGGCAGGGAAACTTTGGACCTTCTCATCTCCCCAGGTAAAAAAAAATATCAGTGTTAATTAATGTGTTCACTTTTATTGAGTGTCAGGAAGTTTTATTGAGTGTCCTGAGTGTCAGGAAGCACAGAGTGCCGCTGGGTAAGGGTGTTGCTGATTGGCTGGAGCAGTCAGGTGGCACTCTAAGTCAATCAGTAGCTCCCCATTCGTAAAAAAGTAAAACATTTTTATGAACCGGGAACTAGCGATTGGCTTAGAGGGTCAACTGACCACTCTAGCTAATCTGCAGCACCCATGCGGTTTAACCCCTTAAAGTAAAGAGAGCACCCAGGGGCTTCCTGGCATCATAGCATTTTCATTTAGATTAAGTTGTTATGGTGACCAGAATGTTCCTTTAATTTGCTTAAAGGAACACTATAGTGTCATGAATACAAACATGCATTCCTGACACTATAGTTGTGAAAACACTATTCACCCTGGCTTTATGTGATAATGACTATGCCCTTTCCCTTTCGTGACACTGTCAAAAAGGGAAAAGGCATGGATGTCATTACAATTATGCCCCCCGCCCGGAAAAATTTCTGCGGATGCCCATGGGCGCACCGGCCTGGGGGCACAAGATATGAGGGATCAGCAGGAGGGAAGCACTGTGCTCCCTCATGCCAGTCCCTCAGTGTAGCATGGCCGAGCTCCGCTCCGGTCCACAGTACAGGAGCATCCATGTACCTGGCCGGACTGACAGGAAGTGCTCACTCAGCCGGGTATAGGAAACAGAAACTCCTGTACCGCAGACCGAAGCTCGGCCATGCTACACATTGTAGGAGAGAGGGGGTGAGGAAAACTCCATAAGCACAAACATTAGATCCTCTGCACACTAGCACGTAACACATCCCCTACACACTCCACTCCCTGTGAGTAAACTAATGGGTGGAACATGTAGGTGGACTTATGGGTGGGCCTTATGGGCATACTCACCGTCAGGCCCTGGGGGCCCAGACCTTCAGCTGTGGAAGGAGCCCAAAGAAATTGAGCTGCTTTACGTTCCCCCAGAACATTGACTTTTGTGACAACAGTTACAAACAGCCACCAGAGAGCCTGTTCTACACTAGACCAGTGGAGCCAGACTGCAGCCAGAGGCCATCATCATCCTCATCTGGTTGTAAGTAGGCAATCTAGAATATTATTCGTGGCACTAATCTCTAATTTACTTCACATTAAAGGCACACTATAGTCCCCAAAGCCACTGCAGCTTAATGTAGTGGTTCTGGTGTCTATAGCCTGTCTCTGCAGGCCTTTTAATGTAAACACACACTGTGTGCAGCATTGGCGTTAGTTAAAGGGACACTATAGTCACCTGAACAACTTCAGCTTAATGAGGTTGTTCAGGTGAGAACTATAGCTCCCTGCAGCCTTTCTCATGTAAACACTGTATTTTCTGAGAAAATACAGTGTTTACATTGAAAGCTAGGAACACCTCCAGTTGCAGTCACTCAGAGTGAACCAGGGGGACTTCTGAGTGGATGGAGGCATAATATGCCTCCATCCACTCAGATCTGCTGTGCATGAGCATCCTGTGATTAAGTATCTCCTCCCACTGCATGTAGACACTGAACTTTCCTCATAGAGATTCATTGATTCAATTAATCTCTATGAGGAGATGCTGATTGGCCAGGGCTGTGTTTGAATCATGCTGGCTCTGCCCCTGATCTGCCTCCTTGTCAGTCTCAGCCAATCCTATGGGGAAGCACTGTGATTGGATCAGGCTATCACATATCAGCAGACTGCTTGTTTTTCCTGAGTCTAACAGCATGCAGATTTACAGCTTCTGGCTTGAATACAGTAAGATTTTTACTATATTTATGGAGGCATGAGGGGCCCAGGGGGGCTAGATGGTCATGTTAACACTATAGGGTCAGGAATACATGTAGTTGCACTGGTGACTATAGTGTCCCTTTAATATGGCAGGTCATATGGGTGGGGCATTGTGATGTCACATGGGGGGGCAATTTTTTTTTTTGCCTAGGGCGGCAAAATCCTTGCACTGGCCCTTACTAGAATACAGAGGGCCAGGACCGTAGGGACACTCAAACAACCGCCAGAATGCAGGAATACTTCAGACAACCAGAACAGGAACTATCTGATACACAGTCCTGGAACTAGAACCCTTATTCTAAGTAGGAACTGGTGTTTCCCATACTCTTCACATCATTTATTTTATATACATTTTTATAATATGTGTATTCACAGGCGGCACTTCTCAATAATGTTGAATGAGGAGGAGAGGTAAGGTAAAAAATAACTAGAAACCTTTATTTTGTTATGTTTATTGCACACATGGGGTGGGGGGAGGGGGATTGCACCTGTATAACTAGGTGTATGTACATAGAAAACCACAGAAACACGTTTGCATTGCAGTTACTATCCTTACAATAACACAGACACCCATTCTCACCATTATTTGGTAAAACATTCAGAAACATTTTTATCTACAGTACACTAAAACAAGCATTATTTACAGTTGCACAAACAGACCAAAAGTGTTACAGTGAAATGTACAATCAATTGGTTACAGTGAAATTCAGTTTTGGTCACATTTTCCCTCGGCTAGAGCAACTCTCTACTAGGGACATCTACCCTGACTAGAAATATGTATATTATGTTATCATTTTTAGATGTTTTTTGTTTTGTTTTTTTATTTTGCAACATGGTAATTGTAACTATTTTCATTTGTTAACGAAGAAAAAGATTTACTAACCGACTTTCTGGGGCAAGCAATAGAGAAATTGACTTTTGGGGGGTTTATAGGCACTTGAGGATTCTGCACCTCATGAGCAGGGGAGTGCTGTGGAGCTATTATAAAAAATAGCCTTTTATTCCCACAAAACCTACAGATCTTACAGTGTGGGTGGTCCAACTCACATGGAGCATACAAAGTACAGCTATGACATAAGGTGAATGCTTGGGTTGTGAGTAATGACATCATACATTCCTGCACCCTCCATTAGTATGACCAGTACAGCAAGATGGAGCATTCACAAAGACCTCTCTGCTCTGTTTCCCATGATTTGATTGCCATCACTTATAACCTGGTAAGTGTTATTAATGTCTTATCTCACCCTGCCTTAATTTACAAACACCTCTAAGGACATCATATATACTCATCCCTTTTGGGGACGAACCCAGGTCTGGAGAGCACTGAAAGCACAGACCACCAGCTCACATGCTAACCTACACAGTGCTGAACTTGCATAGGACCTGTTTTAATTTTCAGAAGAAAGATTTGAGACTGCAGCCCCCAACCCACATGTCGGCTCTCCCATGCAAGTGGCCCAGGGGACTATTGACCCACTTGTCAGCCCTCACAAAACACCTAATAAAAGTAGAGTAACACACAGTACGCCAATCAGTTAAAGTGGCATGCATGAACATTCAAGGACTTCAAACAACAACACAGGGACCCAACCAGTTGCAGCAGCATACAAGCGTTATGTGGTTATATATAGAAAGAACAGAAATTCTTCTTAAATGAAGAACGGGATATTGTTTCTAGCAAATAGTGACAATTTATTTCACATACAGCAGAATAAATTGTTTATTTTTATAATAATAATAAAGAAAGTAGAAAAAAGTAATAGTAGTCAACACAGTAATTAATATTAATGTCAGCTTGTTGACCCAAGGACAAATCTGATTATCACTTTGGTGTCTACAAGTAATTTTATACCTTTCTCTAGAACAATTGGAAACCATTTGATATTTGTTAACCTTCTTTTAGATCAACAGCCTATATATGCATATTTTTTTTAAAGATTGAACTGGACACTTTTTCTACTTATACAATAACCAACCACAACATTAAAACCACTAATAGGCTAAGTTAATAACATTGATTATATAGCTACAATCGCACCTACCAAGGAGTGGGAAATATTAGGCAGCAAGTAAACAGTCAGTTCTAAAAAGGGCAAGTGAAAAGATCTGAGTGACTTTGACTACGGCCAATAGTGATTTGGCAATAGTGATGGCTAGACAGATGGGTCACAGCATCATTAAAATGGCAAGTCTTGTTGGGTGTTCCTGGTCAAGATCATGGATGCCAAAGGCTCATTGCTGCACGTGGGGAGTAAAGGCCATCTGGTCCAATCACTCAGCTACTACTGTAGCTCAGATTGCAAAAAATAATAATAATGGCCATGCTACAAAGGTGTCAGAACATACAGTGCATTATAGTTTGTTGTGCTGCCAAAAGTGCCTTCAATGGGGATGTGAGTGTCAGATATGAACCATGGAAGAAGGTTTCCTGGTCTGGTGAATCACAATTCTTTTTGATTAGATGGGTGGTTGGTTGGGTGAGTGTGTGTGTTCTTTACCTGGGGAAGAGATGGCAGCAGGATGCACTATGGGAAGAAGGTAGTCTGGCGGAGGCAGTGTAATGCTCTGGGCATTCATGTGGATGTTACTTTGACATGTACCACCTACCTAGATATTGTTGCAGAACACGTACACACCTTAAAGACATTGGTGTTTCCAGATGGCGGTGGCCTCTTTCAGCAGGATCATGCACCCTGCCACACTGCAAAAATTGTTCAGGCACGGTTTGAGGAACATGATGGATTCAAGGTGTTGCCTTTGCCTCTAAATTCCCTAGATTTCAATCCGATTGAGCAACTGTGGGATGTGCTGGAACAACAAATCCGATCCATGGAGGCCCCAAATCACAACATGCAGGACTTAAAAGATATGCTGCTAATTTATTGGTGCCAGATACCAATGGACAAGTTCAGAGGTCTTGTGGAGTTCATGCCTCAATTCATTAGTGCTGGTTTGGAAGTATGAGGGGAACCTACACGATACTAGACAGATGGTTTCAATGTTGTGGATGATCAGTTTATAACTCAACCCATATTATAACATAAAATATTGATATCTGCAAGAATGCAAGAAACCGTAGAAATCTGAAAATAACCAACATCCACATTATTTATTTACAGTCCACCCCTCTCAAATATTTACATTGTTACTCACTCTCTCTCTGTACTATTATTTCTTATAATGTCCCTTCTTCATGCTTTATATTCCCACTCACTTGAGCAATACCATCTGCACCAAGCATGTAACACAATTTAAAAGGAAACATTAATAGGTAATAGGTAAACAATCAACGACAATCATTAATTATATAAACAAGTAGAAGACGATCCATAGCTTTACTGGTATTGAAAAAAAAAACATTATAAAAATAATGGACATTTCATTGCCTTCATTGATGATTTGCATAAAAATTGTTTTTTATAGTATGACTTTGCTTTTATATACTTTGGCATCCACGTGTACAATCATCATACAAGTTTGAGGTCTTAGAAATATAGTGCAATGCAAGGTGTCATGTTTTAGTCATAACCATAGGACCTTTTATGTAAAAATTTCTAGGAAGTCTTGTTGGTAGCACCAGTTTTGTTGTCTTGTATACAATATGTTCATGGTTTCGTCATTGCATATTCTGAGCTACCATTGTGCACTTAGGAGTCAAAGCATTGTTTTTGTGATTGACACCCACCAGCTTGCTTCAATATATATTTCCAGTGCATAATATTTAATGAACCACTTCCTATTCTGGCTCATTATCAAGATATTCATCTCTGCGTCCTGCGTGTTCCGTAGTAGCCAAACCCAGCTTTGATGGAGGCTTACCTTGAGATAGATGACATCAATATGAAGCCAAAGACTTAAAAGGGAGTTTGGCAACAAACAAATGTAAAATGTTACAAGTGGTATAATGGATAGTTCAATAATGAGGCATCTTTCCACAATGGGAGCTGTTGAAGGCATTCGGCATATACTTCAATGCAAAGTCATTCTTCACCCTTACACATGTTCAAGCTTGTTTAAGGGCTGTATCACATCTTTATTCAGCACAATCATTTGTGTTATGCGTGATACAGCAGATTCAGTAAACTGGCTATAAATGCCTTTGTCTGACGAATAATATTGTGATTTACAAATAAGCCATAGGTTTCACACTCAGACACACAAAGGTCAGGATTTAGTGAACCGCTTGGTAATGAGATTGGTAAGTGTATGCAGTTATAATTAGCATGCCCTTAAGTTTCATTAATTAAGCCTATCACTAAAGGACATCACAACTTTACATAAGAACATTATTTAAATGGACAATGTGAATTGATTTAACCCCTTAAGGACACATGGCATGTGTGACATGTCATGAATTCCTTTATTCAAGAAGTTTGGTACTTAAGGGTTAAAATCACTTTGGCAAATTGTTTCTTTAAGTTTAAAATATGACAGGCACTCACAAGTTACTTATTTTGATATCAGGGTCAATACTGATCTTGATCCCTAATAGAGCTAAAAGAATAAATCCTCAGGACTCTACCAATAATTTTAAACGAGTTTTGTTTTGTTTAGTTTCCAATCAGTAACTCAAAGCATTTCTGCTTTCAACAAATTTCAATCTGTCATGCAAGTGATTACGCTGGGGTCCATCTATTCAATGAGCTAAATGAATATCCAATCAGATAAAGGACAGCTAGATCCCAGCAAGTGCAACTTTCTAAACACTAGAGATAGATATTGTGTTATTTCACTTCAGCACTGTAGAATATTACATATTTAGCTCCTGCAAATACCTATGTCTATTTTAGCTACCTGTTCCTATGTTATTATTTGATTTTAGATTTAGACATGGCTGTTTCTTTTTTTTTTTGTCTTTTTTTTAAGTGCAGGGATAAAAATACAGGGTTGCAGTGACATGTAATAGAGTTAAAGACATTGTAGATAATTAGGAGTTCAACATGATATGTCGTGATAAGCTGTACATTTTTAAAATTATGTATAGCAAGAGATATAAACAAAGTGGTAATTGGTGTCCTGATAGCAGGCATAGCGAGCTAATCGATAGTGCTGGACACTAAGATAATAATAAAGAGTAAACATGAGTTTTCAATTTCAAGCAAATTTAAAACAGGTAATATAAACATGCATCAGAGGGTAACTAGACCTGAATAGAGTAACTGTTAAGGTTAATAACCACTGGGCCCTAAAAATCATTATAGCGCGGCTGCGCCCTGCGAGGCATAATGTAGTGTCAGGCTAAGCATGCGTGGCAGTGCCTTATACAGGGAGTTAAACAAAATTATAATGAAATGAGCTGAAAAATATTTTTAAAAAGCCCTTTGCGGTTCATACAGTGAAAAAATTATTTTAAAGAAAATAAACATCAGCATTTGACTGGTGGAACTCGGCTCTTCATAGAACCTAGCGACCAGTGTATTCAGAAGGCTCATCAACCGGAGTTGCCGGAGAGTTCAGTGGCCACTCAGCTTATGCCTAAGGGTGGTAAGTCCCGGCCTTAATCTCCAACTGACAATCCAGCAAGACCAGTCCACATGGTCCACGCTGCCTGGCACCGTTGCAATCCCTCCTCCAGTACTTCGACCAGGGTTTGTTGCTTTGATCTCACAGCCTTGCATGCACAGTGTTTTGATATGCAGGCTTCAGGTTCAGGAAGGCCATGCTGGTGGTATTTAGGCTTTTCTCTCCATATTCGGGGTGAGTTGTAGCTGCCACGTGCTCAAATATATGTTTTACCTCTTTATAACCAATAAAAATTATATATTAAAAAAAAAGGAAACAGGATACAACATAATCCCCACTCTCACTCTGTCTACCTCTGGTGCAGCGATTACAAAAAACCTCTGCAGGCATATTTCAGTGTTCCAGCACAAAAATCATTTACACGTGATGGAGGCTGTTTGGTAAGACAAATAAAACAACTAAAGCAAAGATTCCAAAAAAAATATAGAAAAGAGTTGACTATCATCAAGCTAATGTTTAATAAAAATATTTAACTTTTTAGGTGTGCTTCATTTTATTTATTTTTTCAAATGGACATATCCACAGCTACTCTTATGCACTTTAAACGCGCTTTCATAGTTTTACTTTGTTGCACTCTAGTCTATCTGTTTGTTTGTTTTTTACATTCCTGTAGTAATACAAACCAGTGAGTGGAGTCAAAAGAACCTCATATTCAAAAGAAAAAGGAAAAAGAAAAAAAAAATCATAGTGCTAAACTTTAATCAATATGCAAACAGTGATATTAAAAGGCAATAACACACTAAGATTTTACAATGAGATTCCTGAGGCTGACAAAAAATCCAAAGAGAATTCCAGTGTATATATGTATGTATGTATTGTATTCTGTATATTTCACTAAAGGGCTGTAATATTTTACTCCTCACCATTGACACAAGGCACAGTTTACACTATTTTTGCTTTTTTATTTTCAGCATGGCTTGGGAAGGTTACTGCGGCCTTTCTTGATTTTTTTTTCTTTCTCATACCTACAGCTATTATTTCCAAAAGTTGCCTTTTGCTCCTTACATTAGAGACATTTTAGCTGTGACATTTGACGTTATAGTTATTTTATTATTGAAAAGGATTGTTGCATTTTGAAAGCTCTCACCTTAAGCAGTTAAATGAATTTGACGTCCGTCAATTAAGTATGAAGTACGAAAGCACAAGGAGAGAAACCAGCCCATCTGTTTTTAATGCTCAGACACAAACGGTGTGCTAGCGAAGGCAAATAAATGCTTCACTCACCTTGTCAACATCAACTCCACCTAGAAGCCAATTCAGTTTTGGTATTTGTCATCACTAATCACATATAATGACAGCAGTGCCTTAAAGCTTTCATATAAAGCAGCATCCTGAATCTTATCTAGATCCACTGTTTTCTTACATGTTGAAAGGCATTTCCTCCAAGTGTCTCTGAAATTCAAATTACTATATCAGAAATCTTGCAGGAATAGCCCAAACTTGAGCTGAAAATATAGCTGAATCATAAACAAACCAAAACATGGTTGAGCATGTTTCTTTTGATTTGGTGATTCTGAATTCCGCCACTGGCGTTAAAAAAAAGAGATGATTGATGGGAAAAAAGGAGGATTAATGGCTAGGGGACTGTTGATTTTAGTCACAAATCAACTATGAAGTGATAAACAGAGGGAAAAAAGAAGTGGCCAACATACATGTCTGTCTGTCTGTCCATCCATTTATTACTTTTTCTCACTTGATATGTCAACCATATGGTGGGAAAATGCTCCTAGGAATGTACTGTAGAATACATACGTTATATTTATATTATTTTAAAAATACTGCATCTGGATATGTATGTTTGAGAGTAAAACTATAAAGGTTATTGATATGATGTGTCACATGATATGTTATGTGCAGTTAGAATTTGATTTTATGTGATGGTGTCATTTATTGCTAGACCTATTTTTTGTTCTTCAAAGAATGAGTCATGTAATTCTATTATCTCTCAGACTCATTGGAGCTAGCTCAAACTGGAAACATATAGATGCACATTTTAGGCTTGCAATCCTTGATTTTTTCATTGGTTGCCACAACACACTGTTTACATTTCCAGCACCTCATTCAGTTTAATTTCCATGTTATTCCTTGTTCTTCCCCCATATTTCACTAACTCATACAAACATATTGCCCTGACTAAACCTGGTAGATTAGTTTTTAATACTTACCTTCCTGATGTGAAGATACCAATATGGCATAATGGATGGATAAACAGTTGACTTACTTGTAGCCTGCTTATGCCCTGTGTGCTGTTTGGAGAGGGGTTGGTGGAACTGGCATAAATCTATATAGCTTTCACATAAGAGATTGGGAACTGTTTCAGAACAACAGATATTTCATGGACAAAGATAGAGAGGGAATGGATGGTGACAGCAATCCAGGGCATGGGCATAGGAAGCCCCACAAATCTGGGGGGATAGCATTCTTACTCGCCAGGTATATTCTTATTCAGTAAACTGGGAGTTGTTTATCCCATTGTACAGTGCTACGGAATTTGATGGCGCTATGTAAATAATAAAATAATAATAATAATGTTAAATTTTTAGTGTGTGTGTGTGTGAAATAATATAATGTGAAGCATATCCGTGTATCGCATAGCTCCACAGCAATACAACTGACAGTAATGTGTGAGGTGCAAGTACATCACAGAACACCTCAGCAATAAAATACATGGGAAAGTGTAGTGTGTGAGTGTATCACAAATTCTACAGGAAAATATCTCACAGGAACGTGCAGTTTGTGACTGAATTACAGATCACCTCATCAATACAATGCACAGGAATGTACAGTGTTTGAATATATATCAGCCAACCCAATACTTGGCAAAACACTGCGCTGCACCAATCAGCATCTCCTCACAGAGATGCGTTGAATCAATGCATTTCTATGAGGAGTGTTCAGCGTGAATGCTAGTGCTGCACGTTGTGCAACACTGGACTAGGAAGCACCTCTAGTGGCCGCCTGATAAGGTATTCCTTGGCAGTAATGTAAATACTGCCTTTTTCTGAAAAGGCAGTGCGCTTACATTAAAAAGCCTGCAGAGGCATGCTATAAACACCAAAACTACTACGTTTAGCCGTTCTGGTTCTGGTGACTATAGTGTCACTTGAATATAGAGGGAAAAAAAGAAACATCACAAATGTATGAAATAAAAATGTCTTTCATTATTCTAAAAAAGTTTTTTGTAAACAACGTGCAGATAGTACTGTACTAATGATATCCCTGGCTGGATGGGAGCATTCCATGTGCTCAGCATGGTATCCCTGGTTCAGGGGCGTACCTAGAGCATTTGGCACCCGGGGCGGATCCTGTGCTTGGCACCCCCCTCCCCCCAAAAAAAAAAAAACCTGTAAAAAATGTTAAAGGTTTTATTTCTTTTATTTTTACAATTTGTAAACTTTGCAAAACCGTTGTCAGACCCTCCTACAAAACCCTTGTCCTGCCCTGCCCCTCCTACAAAACCTCTGTCCTGCCCCTTCTACAAATCCTGTACTGCCCCATCTACAAAACCCCCGCAACCCCCTTCCACAAATCCCCTGCTTATCCCCCCTTATAAAGACTCCTGTCCCAATACAAAACCCCCACCCCCTTCTACAAAATCCCTGCAGCCCCACACACACATTTACAGGCAGACAGTCACACACTCAGTTACAGACAGACAGTCACACACTCAGTTACAGGCAGACAGTCACACACAGTCACAGGCAGACAGTCACACATACACATTTCCTCCGTGCGGCCAGTTTATCAGCTGTTTGCTTGAGTGAGCTGTACTGGCCGCACGGCACCCTAACTACCATGGGACACTGTGCGGCCACAGCTCACACAGCCCCCTCCAGCCAGGGCCGGTACAAGGATTTTTGCCGCCCTAGGCAAAAGTAAAGTTTGCCGCCCCCCATGTGACATCACAATGCCCCAGCCATATGATTTGCCATGTTAACTAACGCCAGTGCTGCAGTGCCGCCGTGTTTACATTAAAAGGCCTGCAGGGACAGGCTATAGACACCAGAACCACTACATTAAGCTGAAGTGGTTCTGGGGACTATAGTGTTTCTTTAATGTGAGGTAAATTAGAGCTTAGTGCCACGAATAATATACTAGATTGCCTACTTACAACCAGATGAGGATGATGATGGGCTCTAGCTGCAGTCTGGCTCCACTGGTCTGGTGCAGAACAGGCTCTCTGGAGGCGGTTTGTAACTGTGGTCACAAAAATCAATGTTCTGGGAGAACGGGAAGCAGCTCCATTTTTTTGGGGTCCTTTACACAGCTCAATGTCTGGGTCCCAGGGTCCACCTTCATGTTCCACCAATGAGTTTGTTCACAGGGGGTGGAGTGTGTAGGGGATGTCCTGATATGTGTGTAAGGAATGCATTGTGTGAAATTGTGTTTGTATGTGTAAGGACTGCAAGGTGTGTTTCTGCGTATGTATGGGATGCTTTGAATGTGTGTAAGGGGTGCATTAAGTGTGTGTAATGAATGCATTGTGTGTTTCTGTGTGTGTAAGGGATGCATTGTGTGTAACGGTT